CTCAAAAGAGAGGGGCAGTGTAATACTTTGTTTATGCGACCACGTGGCGTTTGCAGTCACTTCAGAATATGTCTGGCTCATTTGTTCCGTTGCTTTAGTATATATGTAATTAGCAGCACTATCTTCTTATACCGGCTAGGCGTTCTCGATGAGCTAGAGCCTTTTCCTGGTACTCGAGGGTTGGCATTTGGGCCGTGCTCAGGTCCTGTTGCTCTGTTGTATTTGGAATACTTCCTTTCAACTTTACTTATTGGGCTCTCCCATTCGGTGAGAAGTCTGAAGACACTACAACTAGAAATCATCCAGCCTGTTTCCCGTCTTTCTGTCAAAACTTACTGAAGATCTCAAAGGAGATGTGATAGCCGGGTATACCTTTGGTGAATTCTTAAGATCTGCCGAGTTTGCATTTGCGTCATAAGTGTTATTTATGTAACACCAAATATACTGCAGCTGACATGACAGATGCATCAAGGTATTAGTTAAAGTCATCGCTTAAATGGGCAGGTTAGTAGTGTTGTGCATGTCCTTCAAGTATCTTTCTTCAAAATAGATGTTTAGATCTATTGTAGTTTTTTAAGAACCGTGATTGTGTGGTTTCCCTAGGTTGTGGTTGAGTTATTAGTGTTTCTAATCTGATCCCTATAATTTTTTTGATTATGCCTTTTAACTTTTTTGTAATTTATCGCATAATCAAGTTTTTTTTGCAAAATATTTTTTTGGTGCACCTAAGCGTAGGCATATTATTTTTTTACGAAAGGTTTTTGTTTGACGTTTTGTTTATATCGGTATCACTTTGAAGAGCCCTTGAAGAGTAGTATAAAGGCTGGGTTGACGTCGTTTTTCTCGCAGGTAATTTTCTTTTCGGTGGCGTTTTGTTACTAGTTTAGTGTTTATTGTCGGTAAACGTTGCTATGTTTGACATAAATGCTATTAAGTCTTGGTATTGTACTTTGAAAGATTGGGTAACCTTCTCATATTTTGTGTCTGCATAGGCATGCGGCTTATAATTAATACACTTTTTAGCTTGTTTTGCTTTTCTTGTTTTTTTTATGGCACTATTTCTGGGCAAAACTTGGAAATTTTGAATGATTTTCTCTTAATAAATTTTGTTTGTGCCTTCAGGCAAATCATGCTCTCGAACATAAAGGTAGGGAAGTTTCATTTACTTTCTTATTCTTCATAGTATCCATACAAGCCTGGATTTTTTTGTACTGCAGGTTGGAATTATTGGTGGATCTGGACTAGATGATCCCAGGATTCTTGAGAACCAGTCTGCGTATTTTGCTACAACTCCTTTTGGAGAACCCTCAGATGAGTTACTTGAAGGCACCATTTCTGGGGTTCCTTGTGTCCTACTTCCAAGGTGATCATCCCACGCCTCACTTCATTCGTCTGTTCATTTAATTGCTTTGCGCATGTTTATCGATGTCATCGAAACTTTCCTCCTCAATGTTAGGAGCATGGTGTCTGAATTTTGATAACTTTCCTATAAGTTACGTCACATTAATGAAGGCTAACCTTGAAAAGGAATTAAGAGGCGTCTACTTTCGTTTTTAGGCATGGTCGTAGGCATAGCATAATGCCGGGAAATGTGAATTTCCGCGCCAATATTTGGGCTCTTAAGGAGGCGGGTTGCACACATGTGTTGGCTTCCAATGCCTGTGGTGGTTTGCAAGAATATACCCGTCCTGGCGACCTTGTTGTGCTTGATGACTTCTTTGATCGAACGCAAAATCGCAAGCAGACTTTCTATGATGGGGAGCCTGGCCATCCCGTTGGAGTCGTTCACCTTCCCGCCTCTAGTGTTTATTGTGAAAGAACCCGCAAAGTAACTGATTCATTTCATCCTCTTTGATGAATCTTCCTGGAGTAGTTTTACCTTAGAAATTAAAAGGCATTTTTTTGGACTTCATTGGTGTTTGTCTTCAAGATATGTATGTCTTGCAAGCTTTCATAATTAGAATGTGGGATGTTTAGAGTTGTCTCAAACGCGTTTATTAGCATTAAAATGGTTTATTTGTTGTTGCAACTCTTATATTTTCTTGGATTTCTCCAGTTTATGTGATGTTGTTTTTGAATTGTGTCCCCAGAACTACTGCTGATAGTTAAAATCTTAGCTCTCCGTGTCGGGCCCTCTGCAGGTCCCTGTGATGATGGCTTCAGCATTGCTTGTAGGTGTTGATCAGGGCGGCAATGAGGTTCATGCCGGACACATATATTCCGGGGGACACACGACCGGAGAATGACGTTCCACGCCTACATTTGAAAGGCAGTTGTGTGACAATCGAGGGACCTCGATTTTCGAGTCGCTGCGAATCCAAACTCTTCCACAGCTTGGGCTTTGATGTCATTAATATGACCAACGTGCCTGAGGTGATTCTTGCCAAGGAGGCTGGCCTTTGCTACGCCACACTGGCCATTGTTACCGACTACTGCGCTTGGCACGATTCTCGTGATGCCGTAAGTGCTTTGCAGTGCCATTTTTACGCTTCCACTTCGTATCGACGACGAGTCTCGAATTTAGTCTTGTGATACTGCGAGTCTAGCAATAGCGAAGGTGTTTGTAGCATATAACCTGGTAACACTCCCATTTACCTTTTTGTGGGTATTGGTGAGGTCATAAGAACCCAGTGGTAAGGTAAGGTTGCTTGGCAGAGATAAACATAGCCGGATGGGTTGCATGGTCATGTTTATCTGCTTAGGTCCTGACCATCAGTTTCGATGATTTAACAAAATGTTCGCTTTACGCTCGGAGGCAGAAATAATTTTATGTTTATTCCAACGCATTATTCGTCCTTTGAATGTTTACTTTCAAGGGGTGTGGGGCTGCGCGTTTTTACAGCTCAAAGTATGTAGCCCTGTTTCGGGAATTTTGAGTCTTGCGATGTGATCAAGTGAAGAAGCATGTGAGCAACACTCAAAGTGGTGTTTGACCTCTGATTTCTGACATGCCTTCCTGTGTTTAATCTGGACAGCAACTCAATTTTGGCATTGTGGTAGTGATACGGCGGATCAGCTTCTTGCTGGATGCCGATTTTGAGCTGCAGTATCTCTACTTTCTTGTAGGTAAAAGTTGAAACTGTAATTGAAAATTTCAAGAAGAGTGCTGAAACCGTCAAGAACACTCTTGTCGAAGCCATCAAGCTTCTTAAAACAGAAGAATGGGATGACTTGATTGCCACGAACCGAGTAAGCTTTCCACGTTAATGTGGTTTGTTCTTGTGCTGGAAAAAGTAATTTAGGGTGGGAGAATCTCTCTATTCATATATGCTTTGTGGGTGTTTTTGTGTTCTAGGATGTCGCTGAGAGATCCCGTCAAGACGTTCACTAATTGTGTCGACTCTAAGCAAACACGGAATTTTCAGTGACAGTTGTAGCTAGTCAAGTAATAACTAAAGATATTTTTTCACTCCCCACCTCTTCTTTTCGATCTTGGGAGTCGTTTGTCTCGATACGTTGTTCTTTCGATCACTCGTCGTGCATGTATGTATTGGATATTCCCTGCCCTCTTGATCCTTAAATAAGATTTGCATTATCAATTCTGCATGTAACAGATCAGAGAAGCTATTTGCTGATGCGTTCCGCCACATTCTTTGAATGGACTAGATCTTGATGTGAGGTGAGCATCACTGAGGCTACATTACATTCTAGCGCCACTAGCACTCTTAATATCCTTACTGTGGTGGTATTTGTAGCGCCTCCAGCCTTCTCCAAAGGCATAGTGATCAAGCAGAATACGGTGGTGTTGGCGTACAGAAGGGCTTAGAGGCAGTCGAAATGGCAGCGAGGGTGCAATGGTGGAGCGCGTGGAACCTAATTAAACTAGGCACCAGTAGTACGAGCTCTTTAGTATGAACTTGACGCTTCTCCGTCGAGAATAGCCATTGTTCATTTGTAGGTTGGGCTGCGAGTAAATAATGCTCCTCTGCTTTGAGGGAGTACACCATGCACTTTGTGGTTGCTTTTAATTCCTTGGTCAGCCAAATTAAAGTCCTTTTGGGTTGGGCTTCTCGAGGTTTTGAGTTCCCGTCTCTTGTAGGCTCGTGCGCACTATCTGCTTGCTTCCTTTACTAAGAGTAAATAATTTAATGTTAATCGATGCGAGGTCTGACTGCGGTTACGTTTTTTGTCAAGGAGCATGTTTACATATGAATCAGAGGTGTCTCTAACGGTTCAGAAGCCTTTCTAGCCCCCCTCTCCTTTACACCGATGAAGTACAGTTGGGTTTGCGTGGTCATTAACATGCACGCCAATTATCATTGTAGAACCGTGCTCTTTTTATCTGCTTCAAGCAATCTATGATTGGCTGAAGGAGAGTCTAATCTCCCCACTGGCAAGAAGTGCCTATTTAGGAAATTTGGTTACCTGTGCATTAATCCTACTTATTTTATTTAAGTAAAAGTTGTTGATTTTGGTCATCAAACAAGAAACATTTCCAGCGTTTATCGCACCTCACACTTCAATTGCGTGCACTAGTTATTTCACCACTTGGACGCAATTTTCACTACTTCTCAGGCTGTCGAATATACGTTTGTCAACTTTGAGTAATGTACTGGACCAAAAGCTACCTTTCGAAATAGACTCAAATGCATTCTGACCAGGTCTACATCGGGAGCCGGTGAAAGTGTACTGCCTATCAAAAAATTGCGGAAGGTGCATTGGTCGCCCATCTGGCTGGCTTCCGTATGGATATAGAGAGCTATAAATAGGCATGGACATTGCTCAGCTCTGAAAGAAATCTATTTTTAACTCCTACAACCGCCCCCGCAGAGTTAGTGCGTGAATTTTTGGCAATGCAAACAGCAAATTATTTGGAACATGTAGTAGGCATCTTTTTGCTCTAACTGTCTAAAGGAAAGGCACCCAAGGGGAAGTAGTGGAGTTAAAAAACTAGAACTTTGCTAATAACTTTGGGTAGATTTGTAGAGGTACATTAATTGTGCTTTTTGGGGAGAAAAGGTTAGTCTGCGCCAAACATTGTGACAAGAGGGATGACTTTGCCTCGTTTCAGTCTCCCTTAAATCCATTCTCATTCTACTAGTATGAACACAGAAGTGAAGGAAGGAAATACCACGGGCTCTACAGCATATTTTTTTACTCATTATCTAAACAGAGTCAAAGTTTTCGTATTTCATTGTGTAAATTGAAACCTAAGAGCAAAATAGGAAGCCATTTGTTCCATAGGCGGTTTATTAAAAAAAAAACATGCTTTCCATTAGAATGGCTCTGGAGATGGATAGAAATCTAGTCCATCGGACATTAGCTGGAGGATGTGTTGTCATCTGCTTCAGCTATTCCCTCGGCCACATGGATTTTCATGGTGGTCTACGTTTATGTCACCAATAACGCCCTCAACAATAAACACTGCGAGAGCGTCGGTGCGCTGTTGGCAGTTCTTTTAACAACGTCACAAGTTAAAAATCTAATTGCGCAAGTGCAGAAGAAGCAATGACTCCGGCTCTAAGAATAGCAGTCTTATCAGACTCACCAAATATTCGTTTTTGGCTGGTGAAATCGAAATAAGTCAGAACAATGGTTTGTATGAACTGTTTTGGTCACTACCAAAAATGAAGGAAGATGTCATGCGTGGTGTAAGAAAATTGCTTCGGCAGGACTGATGCAGAGGTCTCCACCGTCTCTTTCATCACTCTTTCGAATCCACAAGTAGATCACATCGGCCTTTTGAGTATGGTGAGTTTGGCGATTCAGTGATTAAGCCATCCTCCTGCATCCAATCGGATTTGAATGCTCCTCCACATTACAGAACGTATGCGCCAAAATTCACACACTCCTAAATACGAAGCCAAGCTACAGTGTTGCAGGCGACATCCTAAACCTGCATGACGAACTTGGCTTCTCACGATTCATACGAGCTGGAGTGTTCTCTCCACACTTCACACTGGATGCAGCAAACGCAAGGCGCTCAAATTTTCGCCTACTGCAAAAGACTGTCGGCTGGGAAGTATTGCGACTCGCCATCATGGATGAAGACGGAAGTGCAATAAAGCAGAAATTATGGTTAATTTTGTCGAAGAACTCGGTTGTCATTTTACTTCTTCTATCAACGCATAGGAACTTCCATGACTTCGATGGTGTTCCAGTGACAGGCTCCACCATTTGAAAAGATTAATTTCACACAAATGGAGATTGACGTGCTCCCGAACGGAGTCGGTAGCCTCTCTCACATCTCCTCCTCCTCCTCCTCCTCCTGTCACTAATGCATATTTCCTCCCAGCATTATGCTCACTTCCGTTCTTAAAGAAAATCGTACATTGGGCAAACATCTTACAAGTCGGCCCTTTGTAGTTGATAAGTCCAGGCTGCTCCCATCTCTGTGGATGCGTGAGTCATTGAAAGTTTCATCTATCGAGCAAACGTAAAATGCTTAAAAATTGTAGTCAAACTAAGCAACTGCACCGCAAAACGCCCAATCCGCAACTTATCGCGAGTGGCAAGCCAACTGGTTAGTGAGTGCGTTATAAGTTGAGGGTTTCCCGGTTCCACCTCAGCTTTCCTGCGCTTGGAAGGCAGAGACGAGTCGCTCGACAGTAGGATTTGTAGGCTGAGGGTATTTCGCCGTTGTTCTGCCGTAGGACTATTTCCTTCTCTGAAAGTACCAATGACATCCAATCTGTTAGAAGGCCTGTGCTTACTACTCTAAAAGCCACATTTTAGTTGCTATTCATTGAAGTTGTTGGAAATCAAGTAAAAATGCGTAACTTAGTCATGCTTAATTATTGCTGCCTTTTATTTGTTCCTCAAACAAGTGGCCTTACAGCAACCCTTCAGCACTGCCTAAACATTGAAGAACACTGCCACAAGACCCAGCCATTCTCCAATGCACAGCGTTGTACGTTTGTCTTTGTAAGGATTAGCGTGGGTTCGTTGTAGTAGTCCGGTTTTGTCCCTCCACTACGGACACACGAGGCTTTCTCGAGAATTTGGAGAGGAGCAGCTCATCTCAACCTCATTTTGCACAGCAGATAGTTGGAGAAGAGCTTTTGACTTTCTCCCTTTGCTTCCACAAGACTGTGAGTACGGCATCAGGAATGAGCATTCCCATCCTCAGTTGCGACTCTCCTAACCACCAACACAACCCACTGTCTGTGCATTTAAACGCGTTTACTCCTTGAAAAAAAAGACGTATTATAGGTGCTATCATTTCTCCTACTGCTGGAGAGCTCTAGCAACGACATCGAGGTCAGTCAAGTGAAGGTCTGGCGAACACATTAACTTCTACTTGATTTAAACATTTCATCCAGCGGTCATGCAAATTGGCCTGAGAAGATGCTCAAATTGAAGACATTCCTCCACCCTAATAAATGCCAAGAGCTAACCAGTGCAATAGGTCGCACCGAGTAGACAGCTAAAATACAACCTCAATCTAAAAACTTTAGGAAGTGAGGCTAGTAAGCCATTTCGTACGCAGACACGCTTCCCACAGGGCAGATAGATTGCCAGGATCGGCAGGCTAATGGATGTGTCGTGGTGCCCTTCTCCAAAAATGTTGATCACAAATGCAAAACTTGCATTTAATTGCGTGCAATCCAGGCAGGCAATGGAGAATAGGATGGACCACCAGTGAATGCAACGTAGATATCATAAATAAAAAAAACAAAACTGCGAATTTGCTAGCACACGCCCTAGGCAAGAGAGAGTGTGTGTGTGTGTGTGAATGTGCATGTACCAAAGTGTCAGTAAGCCCAAGGCTGTAAAATCAACTGCCCACACCACTGGGTTGTGCACAAGTCCAGAAATGTCAAAGTGATTCGCCTTAGAGGATCCACTCTCCTGACAAGTTGCACCTAATGAGTGGGAATGCGGCATGAATTGAGGAGGCCTTTATCAATCAAAGCTTCAGTGGTAAAAATGCTCTACAATTTGCAGAGGATCAGCACCAAGAAAGAAGCAGTTCCTATCCAGCTTTAAAGATAACATTCATTGACTACCAACGGTTGCACAACCCTTTAAGGATTGAAGATCGAATTTTCGGTTGCGCAACCGAAGCCTTAAAATCAAATCGCCTCTGCTGTGAGGGTCATAATTCCCTCCACCCACTGGGTATGAGGCATTGCAAGGGGCCATTGTGATCGCCTTTAAAATGCCCACCTAAGCGTCAGTCACCAAGATTTGGCACATATCGTAAATTTTTTTTTTGTTTTTTGGTTGCCACAAAACTATCACGAGTTTTGCTTCCTTTGGTTGAATTATAAATCGAGCAGTAGTTTTCTCAATTATGCTATTCGATGCCATCGTAGAAAACATGCTGCCACACTGATGAAAAAAGCAAAGAGAATTGTAAAACTTTACTCGCTTGCTTATTACTTCCGT